AGGGCTAGGTTTGAACCCACCACCCTTGGTATATGGGACCAGTGCCCTACTCACTGAGCCACAGGTGCCACCCCTTAGAGTGGTTTTGATTTGCATTTCTCTGATGATTAAAGTTGATGAGCATTTTTTCATGTGTTTGTTGAGCATTCATCTATCATCCTGCAAGAAGTTTCTGTTCAAATCTCTTGCCCACTTAGAGAAAGAGTCCATACTATTTGAAGAACACTTGTCCCTCCTCTTACCTGTGCTCTCCATATGGACCACACTCAAGATCAGATGGGTTCATCAGGACCCCTCGCCCTATTACAGCAATCTACTAACTCAAAGCAGCACCCATCTGCTCAGCTTCTACTCAGCAATCCTGTTGGCCAGACAGCTGTATTTCTATTTAGAATCAAAGAATGTGAGAATTGAAAGGGACCTTAGAGAAAACAATTTCTAATTCCCATGCTTTAGAGGAGATGACACCATAGCCCACTGAGGAGAAGTGTTCATCTGAGGTCACAAGGTTAACTAGAAGCAGAATCCCTATCTGCTGACTGCTACTCAGGACTCTTTTCAGCACCATGATACCTTCTCACCCAAAGACAGGATTAGAGAGGGTGAAAGAGAGAGACAGACCACAGGAGAAGAAAAAAACAACAGACTCAGATGTCTATCTTGTTGAAGCTTTTTGAGAAAAAAACAAAATGTGTAATTATAAAAGGAGTATAATCACAGCAATAAATGTAAGAATGTAGAGAAGAGATTTCTATTCCCTCACTCTAATACAACTATTCATATCTCTTTTGATACCTTACATTTAAGTTGCTTTTCAAGTTCAGGTTTTTCCCATAATTTGACAACTCTTTTTTTTTTTTTTTTGGAGAGGGTCTTACTTTGGTGCTAGAGTACTGTAGCATCATCACAGTTCACTGTAACCTCAAACTCCTGAGCTTAAGCAATCCTCCTGCCTTAGACTCCTGAGTAACTGGGACTACACATGTACACTGTAATTCCCAGCTAATTTTTCATTTTTTGTAGAGATGGGGGTCTCACTTTTGCTTAGGCTGATCTCAAACCCTGGGCCTCAAGTGATCCTCCCGCCTTGGCCTTCCAGAGTGCTAGGATTATAGGTATGAGCACCACACACAGCCTCACAACTCTTAATATTACCTCACAAGCATTTTTTCCATCCTGTTGTAAAACTTTATATCCATGATTTTAATGGCTGCACAGCTGGGTTCCTGAACAATTTAGGTTGCTTTCATTCCTCAGGCTATTATTTAGAAGACTGCAATAAATATCTAGGACATCTGGCCATTTTCCCTTTGTTGATTATTGTTTTAAGATGACTGCAGGGTATACTTAACATTCACTCACTTGCTTCTCTAGATAAGCCTGCCAAGGGTCAGCAGAGATGGGATGGGTGAAAGCTGGGAAGCTCTAGAGCTTCTGGCCAAAGCACAGTCTGCTCCTGTTCCCTCTCTGTCCCTTAAACCAATTATCTCAAAGCAAGTGTTCAAAGTATTTTTTCATCCAGGAAAAAAAACATGGAAAAGGCTCATAATTCCTTCCCAGGAAAGCAACACTTTTATCTGGAGAAAGCAGAGGGGAACCTCATAAGAAGCATAGCTAGTAGCAGTTGACCACTTCATCACCTTGGATGACCATTTGTTGTTATTATTATCCTTAAACACAGATCAGGACTCTTTGGCTCCTGGCAGTTCTGCTACATGTGTCTTAGATAATCACTCTCTAGTCTGGGCCTCAACTTCCTAGTCCATAAAATGAGGAGACTGGACTGGACAGTTAAGATCTTATCTAGCTACATCATGTATTAATCTTTCAAAAACTCTTTTTCCAGCTTGGCGCCCATAGCACAGTAATTATGGCACCAGCTACATATACTGAGGCTAGAGGGTTTGAACCTGGCCCAAGCCAGCTAAACAACAATGATAATTGCAACAAAAAATAGCCAGGCTTTGTGGTGGGCACCTGTAGTCCCAGCTACTTGGGAGGCTGAGGCAAGAGAATCGCTTAAGCCCAAGAGTTTGAGGTTGCTGTGAGCTGTGATGCCGTGGCACTCAACCCAAGCTGACACAGTGAGATTCTGCCTCAAAAAAACCCTCCAAACAAAACTCCTTTTCCATGAACAAGAGTAACTTTATGTCTTAATAAAAATACAGAAAGTAGCTGTCTATCACAGGCCTACAGGAAGACTGAACTGCTTCAGAAACAAAAAGACACTGAACATACACTTGGCCGAGACTTAAAGAAGACAATCTATTTATGCCATCACTTCCTTTCAAAGGAATGTAGGTTTTCTGGTTTAAGATTGGCGACCAAATTCTAAGAGAAAGATTGTTCCTTATTCTTCCTTTATTCATCTAGTAGTTGCACTTCCCTGGGAATAAGGGATTAGCTAAAGCACTCTATCATCTGGGTATACAAAATGCTTTTTTGTATCACTATAAAACTTTCTCTCACTATTACTAAGAAATATCTGAGTGCAGAAGTAAGGTCACTTATTAAAGAAAGGCCAAAGCACAATGTACCTGAGTATGGTGAAAATGTAGAAGTTAATTGGGAGAAGGGTTCTGATGCTACCCTCAGCCAACATCTAAAAGTGAACATGACCAGTTTCTAAATTGGCAAGATGGCTCAAATGATGGGTTACTCAGATGCTTTGGTACCCAGGGGAATTAAGCCTTGGTAGATGGTCTCAGGCAGGCAGGCCCTTGAAGAGAGCCATAGGGTAGCTAGTAATGTCATCCAAGACAAAGAATGAGCACAACACTTGTCAGAGTTCAGGGTAAAGGTCCATGTAAACCTCCTGAGACTGGAAAGGGCACAGGGATCAAAGTGTCCCTGAAGAAGGGAGAAGGATGAGCTCTAACCCCACATAGGCCCTTGACTATTCAACAGAGGCACTGACAGAGACCATGAACAGCTCTTTCCACTAGCCGAATTTCAGAGTGATAAGTAAGAATGGCTTTCTTCATTAGTAGCCTAGAATCATTTTTTAAAAACCTCTACCTTCTATAGAATACATCATACTGTTACTGGATATATCAAGAAAAGACCAAATATTTTAAGTACTAGGATGGGAAAGCAACCTAGCCCCAGTTCAGAGGCACCCCTTGTCAGCTGCTGCTGCAACCTCTGTGGTCCCCCCTTTTCCTAGCCCTCACCACACATTCCTCCTGAGTCCTGGTTGATCCTTACCCCTGGCTCCTGGGCAGGGGCTGGCTGCGGGGCTGGCTGCGGGGATGCAGCCGGCTGTGTTTGGGGCTGCTGTGCTGCTGTCGCTGTGGGCTTTTGCTGCAAAGCAGCTTGCTGAGTCATCAGCTGTTGTTGGTGCAGGGCTGTGGCCAGCTGCTGCTGCTGCTGCTGTTGTTGTTGCTGCTGGTAGAAGTTCTGTATTAGCTGCTGTTGAGACCCTCCTTGAGACACCACAGGGAACTGAGCAATCGCTGGCTGTTGGGTTGCTGGATGTACTGCTTGAAACTGAGCAGAAGAAAGTGGTTAAGAAATGAGGTGAATAAGGGCCTGTCCCAGAACACCACTCACAAAAGACGAATGTCTCAATAACGACGCTTAGTACTGAAGCCAAAGGCAAGGGCAAATAGAACTTTGTTAGCTAGGCCTAAAAATTAATGATGGAAATTTCAGGGGCATCAAAGTAAACACATAAATATCTTACAGCGCTGGGCACTCTCCACTGCACTACACACTGTCCTTCCAAGAGGGTTTCTGAATCTAGTCTGAGGGAAGCTATCTGATTAAACATCATGCGCCTCCACAAGCTGGAGGATAACAGAAGCTAGTAAATGATCTCTCTGTCACAGACATAATCCCTCTTATACAGGGATTTGCAGTAGCCAAGATTAAAATGCTTCCCTAAATGAACAGGACGAAGCAATAACAACACTGAAAGGAATAATCTAAATGTTAACCCAGCTATTAAGACTCACCTCAAGTTTTTCAGAAAATTATTTCCCCAGAGCTCTATTTTTATTAAACTCTGACACCTTTAAACATTCAAAATGCAGTAGAACCTCTGTAAGCTGACCACTCAAAGACTATAACAAGCTGGTCAACATACAGAGGTGGTCAGCATAAGGAACTAGACTTACTGATATGTACATGTGGTACATGTCCAGTTTATGAAAATTAGGTCAACTTAAAGAGGTGGCCAACTATGAAGGTTCTACTGTATTTAGTATATTCTATTATGCTTAATGTATATCTAATTTTCACTGCTAGGAACTACACGCTAGGCACACAGAGTTCAAAACAAAGGCCTAATGACGAATACAAGTTAAGATCTTATCTTTGAACATCCCAAATACTGTAACTAAGTTATAGAGTTAATTGGGAGGATACTGTTTGTCTACTGGGGCAAAATTAAGTGGTTAACAAAGAAGTAGATGTCCAAAAATAGCTGTCTATTTATAATAGCAAAATGTTGGAAACAATCCAAATATCTATAAACAGAGACTGATTGAATGAACTATGATGGATATATCCTGAAGAATACATCAAATGGAACACTCTCAAGCTGTAAATAGGAATGAGCTAGACCTATTTAAGGACTGGAGGAAATTGAATTTTGCAGATTTAACTTTGCAACTATGTAAATGGTTTACATATTCATAAAATTACCCTAAAACTTAAAAAGCAATAACTAAAAACCCTAAGAAAATGAAGTAAATAAAAACCTGTGTATCACATTGCTAGCTAAATTCCCAAAAATAACATGCTAAAACATTCTAAGGATACAAAGGGCAAAGAAATCTTAAACTGTTCACAGTGATCATATTGGTATTGATATCTTGAAACTATAACTTAACTAGATACAATAATGCTGTTAGAAGTGAGGATTTTCAGATGAGGAAAATACAATAAAATCCAAGAAATTGAACAAAAATCCTATAATCACAAATCTAAGGAATACAAACCAGAATTAATAATGCATGTTCTCTAATGAAACAAATTAAAACCTATTTTCTAATTTTCCACTAAGAAAGCCTAAAACGAACAGTCAACCCATTAGCAAACGAATGTCTCTAGAAACAAAATTGTGGTTTCTTATTTTTTTATGACAGAGTCTCAAGCTGTTGTCCTGGGTAGAGTGCTGTGGTGTCATAGGTCACAGTAACCTTGGGCTCCAGCGATCCTTTCCCTCAGTTTTTCTATTTTTAGTAGAGACAGGGTTTTGCTTTTGCTCAGGCTGGTCTCAAACTCACGAGCTCAAGCAATCCACCTGCCTTGGCCTCCCAGAGTGCTAGGATTATAGGCATGAGCCATTTTGCCCAGACCAAAATTGTGGTTTTTAAACATAATTTCCATTAAAAAAAAAAAACAGAGCTCCTAAGAAAAATGGTTGATTCCAGATTGAGGACAGAATCATCTCAGGACACAGCTTACTATTCTAGTGAGCAGGAAAATAATTAAAGATGACAGAGGTTACATACAAAGGACCCAGGAGTCAATTTGAAGAGACTTCCACTGGCCAAAGGTGGGATAATTTGAGCATCAAAATTAAAAAATTTTAAAAACCATAAGTATTGGGAAATATAAAAAAAATTTTTAAATAACATGTATTAAAATACATGAATTCATAATGATACAAAACAAAAAACTCACTGCTCATCCTTGGATGATAATACAAAACCAATTTATTACTCTTAAAACTGGTAAACAGAGGGAAAGAATCAAGGATGTCTCCTGTCCTTTTGGTACAAATAGTACCTTAAGGTAACTAAAGAGTTGATTAATAAATTTCTTCATAGAAAAAAATCTAGCCCCTAAAAATGAGGAGAGAATGCTGGGATATCATTTTGCTGTCCCTAATGAATTAACGTATTTGGGAAATATCAGCAAGAGCTGCTGAGCTAATAAGGAACATTAAATAAACAGATCAGACAGGCAACTCCTAAGCACACCGGCCAATCTTCATATTAACAGTGTAGGGAACAACCAGACGCTATAGGCCACCTCAGGTGACACACAGGAAGATCAAAGAACTGGAAACAAACAAATAATATTGAGTAAGCTTCAAGAAATTACCAGTTTACACAGGTGGTCAAACACCTCAAATGACAACCCAGGGATATAATCAGCCAAACCCAGGATGTGTAAATTCTACAGAACAAAGAACCTAGTTTCTTACCAAAAAAAAGTAAATGGCAAAGGGGAAAAAAGAGGGAGAGGGAACCCCAAAGATATATTAATCATCATAAAATGAATATATTCTTAGTTAAGAATGTAAAAAAAAGTATACAAAAAGATAATGGAAAACAATACATGTCAACAAAATTCAAGGTGTGGAACTTGCTTGGATACTGACTCAAACATGCTAACTTAAATTATGAGACATAGAAATAATTAAACACTACTGGATATTTGATGATAATGATAAGTTGTTATTTTTTCTTGCAGTATAATAATGGTGTTTTAGTTATGTTAGAAAAAAGAAAAAGAAAGTCGATAAAAAATAATGCCTTCAACTAGGAATTTAACAATCACATGATGAATTCTTCATGGCCCGAGAAGAAAGGTGACGGGTGGTACAGATGCACTTCTCAATGCTTCAGTCTCTACATCTGTGAGGAACAATGAAGCAATGGCTAATGGCCATCTGTCTTCCAGCACTTCCCAAGGAAGGTACCTATATCTAGTGGGCCTTCTCTTAGGCATGACTCTTAGGTGCAAAGCAGGGCTGACCCTTCATACTCTGACCTCTTACCTGCTGAGTTTGGGCCTGCTGCTGCTGCTGGTAAAATGTGCCTGCTGGCTGCTGTGATGGTGGTGGTGGCTGCTGTGGCTGTTGCTGTGGCTGCTGCTGAGGCTGCTGCTGCTGCTGCTTGAGGAAGAGTTGCTGCTGGTGCTGGGGTGTGGCTTGGGCCTGAGTGGGCAGACCCTGGGCCTGAGTGGAAGGCGGCTGCTGTGGGGTGGGCGGAGCCTGTGGCTGCTTGGCCTGAGACTGTGGCAGAGGCTGGCTGGGTGGGGGCTGGCTTTTCGGTTGGGGAACACTAGCTAAAAGGCCAGGCTGATTGCTGGGGCCTGCAATGAGAATAAAATCCATATAAGGGCTCAAAACTCTTTCAGACAAAAAAGTTTTCTGTCTTGTCAAAGCAATAAAGAGGGGATGACAGGTAGGCAAATTATGCCAAGATCCAAGTGCTCCTGTCTTTCCACATGCTCTGTCCCACCTGGAATGTCTTTCCATCTTCTTGCTAAACTATGTACTTCAAATTTTTCAAAACAAGATGCAGCAACAAGGTTCAATACTCGCCTCTTCCCTAATCTATCATCCCACTTAGTCAATTACTTGGTGTATCTACATATTCAACTAGTCTTTGATGCTACTGTTCACAAACACAATCTTTACCCGTTGGCATGCTGCATGACACAAGCATTCGTTGATGTTTTACATATAGCTTATCCCAGTCTAGATGCCTGGCTGTGAATAAATGGCTACCAAATTTGCCAAAGGCGGCTTCCTGAAGGGGAAGTGTTATCTATATTACTTGATATTTTGGATCAATCCTCTTTATGAAACAAAGCTCATTCATCTCATCAGAAAATAAATACTAAAACATGGAGGGGTCACAGAGACTCAAGAGGCAAAGCATTAAAAAACAGTATTTCTCTGTGAGTGTCGTAACAGGCTAGTCTTGCTTCTTTTAAAGGCAAAGAGAAGTATATGAGAATGAAGAAGTAGGTATGGAATAAATGGACCAAAACAAAATCTGGGCCAAGATTAGAAAAAAGAGACAACAGGCTTTGGTGGTCTTGGAGATCCATCTCAGAATTTAGTGAGAGGTGTCCCCTTTTGCCGGCCACTTGCCTAGATTTTCAACAGCAGCTCACCTCCTATTCCTCAAAGAAGATCAATATTTTTTATGTGCCTCTGGATTCCACACCTAAAGCATAACCAGGCTTTCCAAGACTTCCCTACTGTCCAGGATAATGAAGAGGTATACTGAGTTTCAAACTGAGCTAACTATTGACCTGCAGCCTGAGGTGGAGGCTGAACTGTGGCCCTCTTCCGAGGTGTCAGGGCCGGCTGGATGGGAAGGATTCCTGGGTTCGGCTGAGTCTGCCCAGCTTTAGGCCTCTGACGGGGTGCAATTGAAGTCTCTGTAGTAGGAATGGGATCTGTCAGTCTAAAAAGGGAAAATAAAAAGATTCATGTTAAAATGTGAGAAAAAGGAGGGGTAGGCAGAGCACATGATGCTTTCCCTTCTATATTCATCCAAACCTTCCAGATCTGCTTAATTGGTACTTCCCCAAAGATGGTCCACACAAGGTCACTGTGTTACTGTTTTGAAAAGGTTTGGTGGGCAAATAAATTTGTCACACACTGATCAAAATACACTGAATAGATTTCCTTCCAGTAGAATTTTTTTTTTTGAGACAGTCTTGCTCTGTTGCCCTGGTTACAATATGGTGATATCATTGTAGCCTTCTGTAACCTCCAACTCTTGGGCTCAAATGATCCTCCTGCCTCAACCTCCCGAGTAGCTGGAACTACAGGTTTTCACCACAATGCCTGGATGATTTTTTGCTGTTTTTAGTAGAGACGAGATCTCACTCTTGCTCAGGTTATTCTTGAACTCCTAAGCTCAAGAGATCCTCTGGCCTTGGCCTCCCAGAGAGCTAGGATTACAGGCATGAGGCACTGCACCCAGTCAGAACTTTTCATGTTGAATAGGCATGAATAACCTCAAAGATGCTATACAGAATGCACTGTTTCTCAAGCTTATTTCATCTTGGGACCCTTTTACCCAACACCTCCTAAGATTTCCCCAAACACACTGTGAGTAATGATGTGAAGAGAGGTTTAAGGCAAGTGGTTTTTCTTTTCTTTCTTTCTTTCTTTTTTTTTTGAGACAGAGTCTCACTTTTCACCCTTGGTAGAGTGCTGTAGCATCATACTTCATAGCAAATTCAAACTCTCAGGCTCAAGTGATCCTCCTGCCTCAGCCTCTCTAGTAGCTAGGACTATAGGTGCCCACCACAATGTCTGCTATTTTTAGACAAGAGGTCCCGCTCTTATTCAGGCTGGTCTTGAACTCCTGAGCTCAAGCAATCCACCCACCTTGGCCTCCCAGAGTGCTAGGATAACAGGCATGAGCTACCACGCCCAAACAGGAGGCAGGTGGTTTTCGGATGTAGACAGAACTTGAACTTGGTTATAACTAGCTGTCAGAATGGCCTCTCTGCAATGGAAAACACGTAACAAGGAAAGAATCTACCATAGCAACAAGGAGTGAGTAAATAATACAAGACAGAGGATTTTACTCCAATATAAATACTCTCCTTTGTTCACAGTAATAAAATTTTTAGCTGGGTACTGGGTTACCCAGATTAAAAAATCACAATGCCTGGCCTCTTTTAGAACCAGGTGTGGCCATGTTTCTAAGTTCTGGCCTTGTATGGCCAGATTGTTGTAAGCAGATTGTTACGAGGCAGTTTCTAGAAGCCTTAAGAAATAACTGGTGTATGTCCTGTGTTACTGTTCTTCTTTGGCCCTGATGCTTGGAACCAAAATGCTGCCTCATTCATCCACGCAGTCATGGCTACACCGTAGGGATAACAGAGTGGTGAGCTCGGAGACATCTGTAACCCCAAGGGCTTCATGGAGCAGAACTGCTACACTAGCCAGGGATCTCCAGATTTATTTACTTGAAAAAAAAAAAAAGAATCTATCTTCTTATTAAGTCACTGTCATTTTGGACTTTTTGAAACTCTCAGCCAAATCTAATCCAAATGGACACAGAGAAAATTGCTGTGTGGTCTGCATGTTCCTGTGATGGTGTAGAAGCTCAGGTGCTCCCTTCCATTCATTTATAGCGATCCAGGGAGCCTGCTACTACCTAACTCAGATCAGAGATGCTGTCCTTTGAAACTGTACTTTAGGGAGTATAATTGAGGTTAGGCCTAAATAAACCAGTTTGAAGAATACTTCCAAGTCTGCTTTGCCAAAATATTTTCAAAACGGCCTCCATCAAATGGAAAGGAAAAAGCAAAATAGCTGGCTCCACGTCCCTCCCCATGACTCCAAGGTATGTCCATCCTGGACCCAGAAACTTTTTACTAGCATGCTGTTAAATAAGCACTTATGCTGGTTGGGAACTGGTAATATAACAGCTATCACATCTAGTAAGGTTATAACCTGGGAAAGGGAAATGGGAAGGAAAAAGGGATAGATATTGGAGAAGATAAAGGAGTAAGAAAGAAAAACCTAAGGGTGAGGGAGGTAAACAGACTTCTGTACAAATCCAAATGCAAGAACCTCCACATTGGTCTTCTCCTGAGGTGAACATCTTGGAAACAATGAGATAGGGAGTCAAAGAAAATCATATTTGAGCTCTCGCCCTTCACTGTGTGATAATGGGCATGTCATTTAGCCATGGATTCCTTATGTGTAAAATGCCTACATCATATGGCCAATGTGAATATCAAATGGATCAGTAACTAAAACCATTTTATAAATTGTAGAATGTCCAGACTGTTAGTACATATAAACTTCAGTATTGGTGTTTTGCAGGAACAAGGGAAGGGATCTTTGCTTAGCCTCACTATATACCATGTCTGAGCCTAGTATAAGATGGCCATAAACCCAAAAGATGAAGCTAATTAAATCAGCCCACAAACCAACTCTCAAAGAGGTAAATACAACAGAATCACTATTAAGAAATGGGCTGACTACAAAGTAACAAGTTTTGCTTGTTCAGCAAATTTGCTATGTTTATTAAAAACCCAAGTCTTATTACTTAAAAGCCACATCTGGAATAATTCTATGTACGAAGCATATAGAACATTCTATAGATATTCAAGAATTTAAAAAAACATGTAAGTTATTTTGTTTTTCTATTAAAATTCACATATTCCCATCCAGGGTACTCTGTGGACAGTTCACTGCTAACGGTTCCTCGCCAAGGTACAGTGGTTGAAAGAGGGTTTTAAACATCTCCTGGGCTTCCACCTTCCATTTGGAAGGCAAATGTGCCTTGCAGACCTTGGGCAGAAAGACCAAAGTCCCAGCTGCTGTGTCCCCAAATCTACCACCATGTTTACCCCAAGACCACGCTTCCCATAGGTTGCTCACAGTCTTAATATCCCAGCCACATGACTCCTGGGAGAGAGGGGATGCTCTGCTGATTGACTTTGGCACAGGGACTCCCCGACACCTTTGGTTAACCTTTCTCAGACTGTGAGTCCAAGTCACTTCAGCCCAGGCTTCTCCTCCCTCCCTCTGGGTCACACTCACACTGCCCTCAGATGGCCCTCCCAGCCTTTCCTGGCCCCCTTTCCCTTTTCTCGCACACGGGCATTTCCCCATATAACGTGTTTGCTTGTTTAATCCTTTCTTGGCATCTGCTTCTTGGAAGACCCTAGGTGGTATATACCGTGATTAACTAAGACCCATAGGGTCTTTTGCTCTTTCAACACGCTGTGCTTTGACCTGTACTCTCCCAATGTGGTAGGAGCTATAGAAAGTAAGAAGGAAAAGGAGGTTGAAGATTAGCCTGGTGAATGAGGCTAACCAAAAGCCACATCTAGGACTTTCTTATACTGTCAATATTTAAAGCCTGCTCTTGCTGAATTTCTAAACGCCTCATGACTATTCCCATGGAAAGGAAACAGATGTAGAGTTCTTGATCCTCTTTCAAATGTAGATGATGATATTTCATTATGCTACTTTTTGCATCCCCCCAAAACAGTTTTCGCACAGGGGAGACAGAGCTTGCTTCCCTGATCTGTGCAGCCTCTGGTCATGACGGTGTAAGAATCGAGAAACACGAGGCATCTGCCGCTATGGCAATCAGAGCAGAACAAGTGCTCAGGAAGGCATTCTTACCTGGCCTTTGGCTGGGTCTTTTTTGCAGCTGCCTCACTGGCTTTCACAGGTTCGGGAAGCTTTGCAGGAATGGGAGAGTTCTATAGAATTTAAAGGGGGAAAGAAAAGGACATAATGGTTTTCTTTATAAAAGAATAACTGCCTGACTGGGCCTCAGAGCTGAAAGAAATAAATTTGGGGATCTTCTGGAACAGCTTTCAGGCCCTGAGCTCTGTCTAGTAAAGGGAAGGGAAGTTAACCAAACACACATCTCACTCGGCTGCAGTCAGGGAAGCAGCATGTCTGAGGAAAGGAGAGAGCAGCCTGTGTGCAGCACATTGTTCTGATCGATCTCCACCTTCCATCCCAGGCTGGGCTCACCGGTGCTTGATTTCAGTACCCACCTCCTCCTATAGCACAGCTTGGAAGTGATGTTATGAAATGGATGGGAAGGAGATGTCTGTAACCTGTATTGTTCAAGCTCCCAGCTGGATCTTAGAGAAGTTAGAGCTGACCAAGTCTGCCAGGCCAGGGTGCACTCAGTCTGCTAGTTAGGGTAGTCAGAACGCTGGGAGAAAAACACACTCTTTGAGATGCATGGTTGCTGCTCCAGCACCTCTTCCCAACATGCAAGCATTGCTCAATCTGCAAGCCAAGCAAAGCTCCTCTAACTTGAGTTCTGGGCCATCCACCATCCACTATCACTTCTCGAGAGTATAGCTAGCTGTCCCTAATCACAAAACCGCTTACCGCTACAGAGTGAGTGCCAAATGACAGGAGACTGGTGAAGTTTACTTTCTAAAAACCAGTTATCAGTCTGAATGCTTCCAATTATATTTCATGTTATTTAACTTTTATGTTTGGGAAAGTGGGACTACAAAAGAAAACATGGTCTTATTAGGTTGCTGTACAGTAAGTACCCTTCCTTTTATACTGGAAAACCTGACAAATAGAATACTAGCTATAAAACTGGCTTTTTAGGAGGGTCTTCTTGTTTCTATCATGTTTCTAGGTGGGAGGAATTTCTGCTGGGAAATATCTCCTAATATCTCCTCTGCCCTTCAAGCATTCTTCTCTGAAGTCAGAAGAGAAACTTATTTGATAAGACTGAAAGAAAAAAAAATTGAATCGGTCTGGTTTACCCTTGCCCCCTCTCCTTTACAGAAGTGCCATTCCCTCAGGAATCAGTTATGTGGACGTAAAGTTAGGGAACCTGACTGGTCAAGCTATGCCCTCCAACTCAACCTTATTAGCAATAAGGTTAATATTCTAAGCACTTTCTGAGTCCCACATTTGCTTGCAGAAGTGGGGGTGAAGAGGAGTTATTTATCAGCACTCAAGCTGACATCAAAAGTTCATTATTAAAGAAATTACCAAGAGAGTTGCAGATTAGAATCTATTATAGCATCCATTAGTAAAATATTTAATAAAACTGGATCACAATATGTATAACATAAAAATATGCAAAAATTATTTTTAAAAAGTGTGTGGCAAGCATTTTGCTTTTTTTTTTTTTTTTTTTGACACGGAGTATCTCACTCTGTCATCCTGCTAGAGTGCAGTAGCATCATCACAGCTCACTGTAACCTCTAATTCCTGGGTTCAAGAGATTCTCCTGCCTCAGCCTCCCAAGTAGCTGGGACTAAAGGACTGCACCACCATGCCTGGATAATTTTTTTATTTTTAATAGAGATGGGATCTCACTTTTGCTCAGGGTGATCTTGAACTCCTGATCTCAGGTGATCCTCCCACTTCAGCCTCCCAGAGTGCTAGGATTACAAGCATGAGCCATCATATCTGGCCAGCATTTTGCTCTTAAATCTGAGTACAGAGTTTAGGATTACTAAGTGTAGAAAACATACTGTTCTTTTTTCTTTTGAGACAGAGTCTCATTTCTTCCCCCTTGGTAGAATGCCATGGCATCATAGCTCATAGCAGCCTCAAATTCTTGGGCTCAAGCGATCCTCTTGCCTTAGCCTCCCCAGAAGCTGGGACTAAGGCCTGCCACAATGCCTAGCTATTTTTAGAGATAGGGTTGCACTTTTTCTCAAGCTGGTCTTGAACTCCTAAGCTCAAGTAATCTACCTACCTCAGCCTCCCAGAGTGCTAGGATTACAGGCATGAGCCACCATGCCCAGCCATGGTGTAGAAAAGATTTCTGTGGCCTGATGTACTGGAAGGGTAGGGAAAGGAATGGGATTTGTAAATGGCCAACAGCAGAGGAAAGAAAATTCTGCTGCAAAGGAGGAGAAAAGGAACAAGGGGCTATAATCCCAACAGGCCTGGGGGAAGTCAAAAGCCTTGCCTCAGGAAAGCTTAATCACCTCTAGGTAAATAATAGGCACATGGCTCTCAGTGAACTGTAAAAGTAGACAAGATATGAAGTTGGTCAATCTTCACCCAAAGTGTGCAATTCAATCCCCAGGGTGTTGTTTTGTTCAGTCATAATCACCTCAGTTTTATAATTAAATTCCACAGGAAAATTGGATCCCCTTTATGCCAACGGCTTTATAGTTAGCTCTGCTTGAATGCTCCCTAGTAGATAAAGCAAGGGACATCTACATTCGTTTAAACAGCCATTTAACATCCCAGGAAGTCAAAACGGCAATTTGATGATGTTTACCTCTCTTAAAAAGCACCATTCACATACCTGTACATTTGGAATTGGGCATTCTTTCTTGAGTAGTTTAAATGAGAAGTAGGAGACCTGGTAAATATCTGGCCTTTTGTCAGGGTCTGGTTCCAACATATACCCTAAAATAAACATATGTGAACTTAATAATATCCCAACAGTTATTACATTAGCTAGGAAGCATAATTTCTTTCTCTACTAGCAAAATTTTGTAGTTTTAAAATTTTTTTTCTCATAAAAGTCAGGTACTACAATTAGTTCTTTCCCTCCCCTCTCAGAGAAGCTCTTGTTTTCTCGAAATATTTAATATCCACAAGAAAATTAAGTATTATAAGAAAGTCAACTGAATTTCATATTCTGTGCCTCATACAACAAGGACTCAAGCTCAGTGTTGAGAGTTACCATCTTCATATTCTAATAGCTAGGTTATGTGGTCTTACTTATGGCTTCTTGACTCATACTATCTTGCTAAACAAATGATTATTCTTGGTAATTATAAATAAGACCCAAACTTCATGAATTTATTTATTCTTTCACTGGAGATATTAGCTGGTTTCCAGTTTTTAAAAAAATTATCAAATATCACATACATATCTTTTATAGTGATCACCTATTTCTAGTTCTTTTAAGCTTCTGCCTCTCTGAAACTGGAAAAATCCTTAGGGAAAAAATCTTCTAAGAAGACACACAAACATATGCATACATACAAACAATAATGCAAGGCAGTTTATTGCTTAAGTAATAAAACGAATGATTAGGACACTAAGTTCAGAAAGAATCAGCGAGGGTACAGTCTTGTGAAGGCCCTGCAGAAGATGCATGACTTGAGCTGGGCCTTGATGGGAGACAGAATTGAGTCAGTTGGGGAAAACAGAGAAAAGGCATTCCAAATGAGAGAACAGTCTGAGCAAAGAAGGACTCAGAGAAAGATGAGGATCTTCTGTTGCAAGGAAGCACAGGAGCCAAGAGGGCAGGGTACAGAGAGCTTGGGTGAGTGGCATGGAAACAGAATATAAAAGATCTTAAATGCCAAGCTAAGAATCTGGGCCCTACTGTAGGACCTCTAGCAAACAGCTGAAGTTCTCTGAATAGTGACATGAGAGGATAATGTTTTATAAGATGAATCTTTTGATGAGGGTATACTGGATAGTTTGAAGAGAAAGGAGAGAAGCTAGTGAACAGACATGAGCTGACAGAGTCTGGATATACTACAGTGAGTAGAAAGAATGAGCTAATGAAAACAGTAGAAACTCCAAAACCAAAAAAATATAGCTGAGGCTCGGCGCCTGTAGCTCCGTGGCTAGGGCGCCAGCCACATACACCAGAGCTGGCAGGTTCAAACCTAGCCCGGGCCTGCCAAACAATAATGACAACTACAACCAAAAAATATCCAGGTGTTGTGGCGAGCACCTATAGTCCCAGCTGCTTGGGAGGCTGAGGCAAGAGAATAGCTTAAGCCCAAGAGTGTGAGGTTGCTGTGAGCTGCGATGCCACAGCACTCCACCCAGGGCGACATAGTGAAACTCTGTCTCAAAAAAAAACAGCTGAGGAAATAACCAATTCTTCCCTCTTTCTTGCTAGCCAGATCCAAAAAAATCTTAAATTTCATTCATCCAGACTTAAATGGAGATACAACTGGAAAACAATGGAAAAAGAAGAGGGACCTTGTCTGGGGGCTAAAACGAAGCAGAGGCAATGATGACAGATTTAATTTCAGACCTGTGAGTTTAGGGAGACAGTAAAATTGTCAAACAGTTTACAAACTGAAAGTAGTTTGGAAAAGATGTCAGGGATAAAGACAGTCATAAAGAGTTGTTTTTCCCAATATGAATTTACTGTACAAATGTTAATAAGAAATTAGCAAAATCTTCTACCCAGCAAACATCAAATTTGACCATTTCCCCACATTTCCTGCCAATCTCACAGAACTGCAATTCTAATATAGGTATTATATAATGGTTTACCTCTGAAAATAATCTAACAATCATTAAATGCCATACTCCATTCCTTGAAATATCCCTTTCCTTTGGTTAGCAAATGGTAGAGGAAAAATAAAACTGGCACAATGGAACAGGTAGACACTTAAAAACTGCAGTCATGTTAATGTGGATAGGTTTCTACACTTTTTCAGCTTTACTTTCTTCATTTGTATAATGGGGGTAATTATATTTAATACATAAAAGATTTGAAGAATTAAATGATGTGTAAGTAAGCCCTCCACAAATGTCAGATGCTCCACCCAGATTTGCTCCTCCTATTTTTTCCAGTGCATCCCCATCCAGGACCCAAAGTGGGTTACTCAGTATTCGATTTCCATAATGGCTAAAACTTTGATAACAAGCATCTTGACCAATGTGGAGAGATGATAAAAATATCTGTTTGTTTAGCATTTTAGTACAGGGGCTATGCAAAGACTACTTATTCTACCATCTGGTTAATGAACGTCTGCACATATGCTTGCTGTGATGATACAAAGAATGGGGAATCTTAAGACTATTTTCGCCAAAGCGTTCAGCTTAGATGCTTGTTATTAAAATCCAGTGATGAGATTAAACTATATGAGAGGAAAAACCTGGTTTCATGGAGCTATATAGTCTTAATTATGTATTCACTCCAGTCAATGCACTGCAATCATTTTCATTTGAGTTACTTCCAGTTTTGCAAAGATGAATTTATCACTTGATATGAGTCAGCTGGACTCCTTTGGTACCAGAGATTGCAACAGAATGCAGCAGTGCCGTATTGCTCAAAGCACAATTAGGATTTCTGCTTGGACAGCTGGCCCAGGTGTGAAACTGAGTTTAAGTTTCTAGCAAAAAGACCCATTGCTTTAACTAGACACTGTTACATTATCTTTGCGTTTCCAACCATTATCAACTGATTTCTTTATCTTTGTACCAGTCTATTACTCCTGGAATCTCATCCTTTATCTTCTGATTCATTCTTAGTGATTAAGAGATAAAAACATGAAACTAGAAACCTGGAATACTTACTAATTAGGCAGTGCATATCTTGAGAATACCGAGAGTTATCAGGAATTGTGAAGTTTCCATCACAAATTGCCACCTGACTCTCCCCAAATGGCAAGGTGAAGTAGCATAATTTATACAACAAACATCCAAGAGCCTAAAAAAAAAAAAAAAAAGATAGTAGATTGCTACTTGTGGTTTATTTACTATAAATGTTAATAGGTCTAATGAGAAATACTGGTACCATCCACATTTATTAGCAGATACAAAAACTACATACCGTTAATCTATTAGAAACTTAGTGTAGAACACAACGCCACTGTTTTGCAGCTGAGTTACACTGTTTCTATCATTATTACCCAACTGTGCTCCAGTAAAGAACAAATATTTTATCTAATTTACTCTTAAGAACTTATAATAGTAACACATATGTGAAAAACACTTAAATTATTTTCAGACCTTGGAAGTAATTTTCTTTACCATCCTTTAAGGAGTAGTGGCTGGTCCCCTCACATCCAGCACAACCTTGAGGAGACAATGACATGGGGCAGGAGCCACTGTCCTTTAGCACTATCTGTATTTAATGGCGTTCACAGTCAAGACTACTGTTATCTGAAGTGTGGATAGGTTAGTTGATACCTACCCAAATGTCTGCCTTTGTAGTGATGATTTTGCCACTGTACAGGTTGACCATTTCTGGTGCTCGATAGGACAGCGTTGTGTATCTATAATCAAGAGATTCATTTTTTGTTAAATATGTCAAGGTTATAGTTAAAAGCCAGGAGCAGAAATACTGTTTTTTTTTTTAACCTTAAAAGACTCCCTGGGAATAATATACAGAAGAGAGCATGATGCATTAATGCAGATAAATGAAAGGCTGTCCTTGGTACTACCATATCATCACAGCATGGCCCTCTGGCAGCAGTCTTTCTAGTTTAAGAACATATGGAGACCCAGACACTAATGCACTAAATAAACTCTAAAAGCAATTTTTCTTGGGTTATCAAACGACAAAATCTTCTCCTGTAATTCTTGTTATAGGAAATATTTTGTTGATTTGTTTTCAGAAATAATAAACTCTTTAAATGTGGCTCAATATGGAGATGTAAAACTGGCTGGGATATTCAGAGAACAGCAGAAAGTGGGCTCTGGTGGTGTCTGTTGAGTATGAGGTGAGATCAAGAACCCTTCATCTTTGCTCCTGGAATAGGGCTGAAATAAGAGTTATCCTCTTATCTCTGGCTCAAGATAAAAGTAGTATAAGCTCAAAGTGAATTTCTTGGTGTTACCAAGCAGGTAATTGGTACTGTTTGAGTCTCCAGATCCCAGCTGGGACTGGTTTAGGCATCCATCAGGGCACTGGACCAGAAGTCTTCCTGCTCCAGGCGTGGCTGCCTGGAGTGATGCATGGAAGAACAGAGAGGATCAGGATGTAAGTGTGCAGGCTAGACTGTCGATTCATCACTAGTAATAGCCAGTGCTGTTGCCTGTGAAAAAATCCAGCACTGTGAACATGAGAGGAAAATGGGTCAGCCTTTTATTGGAGTCACAAATCTAAAGAAGCTTTGTCTTGTGGACGTCAGTGATTCATTATCTGCAGAGATTTCAATGACCCTACTCACCATTAATTCTATCACGACTGTCTTACCAGCAAGAAGGAAGCAGCAGGTTAGGGTTTGGTAAAAAGCACATTTTTTTGACTGAGAATGTTCTGGTTATTGTGATCCCACTTAGAAACATCAGAGTACTTTCATGGTATGTGTGCCACTTGACTTGTTATGTCATATATGATGTCATAAATCAAAATATCTAAGTAAATGACCATGGGACCATTGACAAAGTGCTCTAAGATTCCTTTCCTTTACTCTGCTGATCAACACTGTGAACCACCCCCACGCCTCCCTACCATCTTTTACTTAAAGGCAAACAACCCAATCACGAACATCAGACTCTGAGAGAGAGGACAACTGACTAGCACCATTTTCTCCCCACCCCAACCTTTTCATCCACAAGCTGAAAGTGAAGTTGCTCATCTGATAATGGACAAAATTCCAAGAAAGGAAGGAAAACTTACTTTTTAATCTCATCTTCAACTGCATTGACTCCCTCGGTTTGTGGATTCTGGAATTTGTTGGTGGCACTTCCAAAGTCACATAGGACATAGTGGCCTCGGTCATGCAAGAGGATATTTTCAACCTGAAAAACATTCCCCAACCACCCATGCCAAGATATCATTTAGTAATGCATGTGAAAATTCGGTTTCACAATCATTTAAATGTTTTTTGTTTTTTTTTTTTGAGACGGAGCCTCAAGCTATCCCCCTGGGTAAAGTGCCATGGCATCACAGCTCACAGCAACCTCCAACTCCTGGGCTCAAGCGAGTCTCCTGCCTCAGCCTCCCAAGTAGCTGGGACCACAGG